TTCATACAAAAATTCCAAGATTCCGCCGTCTTAAAAACGGCTCCAAGTGAGGTGAAAACAAACTTCTAGCAGTAAGAAAACAATTCTTCTTTTTAGCGTCTCCTTTTAGTAATTAAAAAATGTTTATCTTCCTAAGTATGGACAGGATTCCCAAGTTAGTTTGCGGCTCACTGCAATTACTTTTATTGTAAAGTTATTCTTGATTTAAACTTTACTTCGCTTGAACCAACGTTAGAAGAAGAAATTTAATTTCTATCAAATATTTGACTTCCTCTTTGTTCTTGAACGCAACTCAGCATGTAATTTTACATTAAATTTTAAGTAGACGGCTGTGGTCAGGTAAATGTAATTTTTATTTCCGTTTTGAAGTTTGAGTTTTTGTTTATTTATTAATGAATTATGTTGAAACGTCATTCAACGTTAAATATTAACATCTTAATTATGTTTTTTCACTTGCCCCTACGACTGTTTCCTGTGTCATGGGTGCGTTTACAAATATACAATTTCACAAACACATTATAGCCAGTTCTCAGTTGTTCCGGGACACCAATTTGTAGATCACACAAAGATTTGTTCCGCTTGGGAATCGAACCAGTAAGTTGCCCAGCCGCACCAAGCAACTGTGCAGTCAAAATCTTAATAAACATTAGAAAGTGTATAAAATACGTATCCTAGTCTAAACTATCAAAATGTCACTTACTAAGCCATTACTTATTTAAAAGTAAACCTTATTACTAATATTATTAAGTCGTAGTTAAATTAAAAAACAAAGTATTCATTCGTACGCACAATGTCTTCATTCTGCCGTCATCAGTGCTATGATAATCAAGCTGAACATTGTTCGCAGTAGAACATTCTCGAAGTCATTTGGAACGAACGTACCTTCGGGAATAATGGTATAATGAACACGGACATACGTATGCGCAATCACAGGCTCATGTTATTAGTTCACAGGTGCTAGTTTACGTTCTCATTTATTTCACAGTTCTTTGACTAATATCCGAGAGATATATTCAAGTAATTTGGATTTTAATGTTTAATAAGTTAGGGCTGATTTTTCAATAGTCAGATAAATGAATGTTACCCGAGGAATAAAATTGTTGCTGTCACTGTCTTATACAAACATTCTGACGCGACAGCATCATAATTATTCCCTAGGTAACTTCTATCTAACTATTGAAAAATCAAGCCTTAGTGTACTTAAAAAAATACCGTTTCAAAAATTTTAAAGTAAAGTATGTCATAACTTTACTAGTGTGTCGATGCATATAGAACGAAGATTAACATCTAAACATGATTTTTCTTTACAGAAAATGGCGTTGCCCCACGCTAGTATTTTCTCCTGTGTCATGGGTGTGTTTGCAAGCATACAAATTCACATACACAAGCTACCCAGACCCGAAAAATCGATTTGTGTTGTTGCGTGCGGGAATCGTACCCGCGATACGTAGCACAGCAGCCAGTTGCCCAGCCACTGTGTCAACCGTGCAGTCAAGTCTTAAAGTCCTTATCGCATAAGCAAAGTTTGCAGCCAAAATAAAATTAATAGAAAATCCCGACATTCAACTGTTCGGCCACGTTTACGCACGAGTGAGGCGTCCCGCTTCTGATGAACATTGGAACAGTAGGCCGCGTCATTGCCCGTGCAAATACAAATATATAAAAATAATAACATAACAATACGACGACGACGACGCGAATAAATACTTTTTCTTTCTTTCGAAAAAAAAAATACATTACTCAAATACATATATGACAGACTGCACGGCGAGTTCTTTAAGTGAGGTCCTAGACAGCAGTTTGCCGGCATGTAGGATCCTCTCTTTTGCTGATTTAAGGAATTATGCATGATTTCTATTTCCTGAACTAGCAATCTAGTAACAACGAATCCTATTAATGTAGTACTGCGAGATCCACAAAATTATATTAGATTTTGTGAGGTGAATTTCTATTTTTATAATATTTCAAATATATATAAAATCTTGATCACTTGTACATGTAACAAGTGATTAACATCTTTCCACAAATCACCGGTTACTACAAAATAGTTACATTGTCATCGGTTTTCAGATTCATGAACTGATCACAGTCAATTCCCAGTAGCATAACACTATCCATGCAAATGGAAATGGGCGTATGCACCTGTGCGGCGCACTATAATTCCAACAGTGATTTTGCGATCGGTGTGCGAATACGAACGGTTGATCCGGACAGATAGGAGATTAATTTGTCTGAGTGCAGTTTCAAGCTAAATATAGTACCTACAGATTTTTTATGCAGTACAATTGATGCGATATTGTGTTTAAAAAGCCTGTAGAATTATTTTTTTACCAATGGTACATAGGTTGAAGAACTGTAATTTTCAAACACTGAACTCTAATCTTTGTTGTATACAACTAGACTACTACTTTTCATTGATTATTTAGTGTGGCTCATGTATGTAATAGAAGGTTACCTAATGACGTACTGCGTTTGTAAAAAAACTTTCATAAGCCAATGAAGTCATCCTTATACACTTGCCCGCTGTGATAATGGTTTAAATGGTTTAATCAAATCCTTGGTTGTCAGTAACATAACAATGTTATGGCATAAATATGTAGTACCTTGTGCATACAATAATGTCGTGATAGTCTGAAGGTTAAGGCATTCACTTTTGGGTGCGTGCGTGTCCGAGACATGGCAAGTACCTATGTGATTTTTCGAGTCATGTGTACCTACTTTCTATGATTATTTTAAAGTAATCGTATAATTGACTGCACGGTTAGCGCAGTGGCTGGGCAACTGGCTGCTTTGCAACGTGACTTTGTGTGATCCACAAATTGTTGTTTCTGGTCTGGGTGTGTTGTGTATGTGAATTTGTATGTTTGTGATTGCACCCACGACACAGCAAAAAAATCCTAGTGTGTGCCAGCGTTTTTTTTTAAATGTATATTTACTCACGGAAAGGATGAAACCAGGACTTATAATATCTGATTATAAGGTTGAAATCACCTTAAATGATCAATTTTCAAATCTTCTCCGTGTTAGAAGAAGTCTTTGCTTAGCAGTTGGCACTTATGTGTTATATGATGAAATATTATTTTAAACATATGTATTGAAGTACAAATCATTAAGGACATTATGTAGCATGTAAGTTTTGGTATATCGTTTATCTATATCCCAACTTCTGGGTAGAAATTCAGACTGTATACTACGAATGGGAATTTCAATAAATATTTTTCTTTGAGATCTCGGACTTAGTGCTGTTTGACGATCGAGACGGTAATTAACTTTCTAGTTCCAATTAATTGGAAAGGTTTGGTTTAGCCATGTCGATGGTCATTGTGATATTGATACTTATTTTAAGAACAGGGATCATTATTATGAAAAGCATTTTTTTCGCAAATGAGAATTGTACATATAAAAAGAACTGTCACATCCCAACAAATTAAGACAAGTAACACAGAGTGGTATATATATATAACATCTAAAGTCATTTGAAAGTAAATACTTCAACAAAATCATAAGAGCTTCGTGCCAAGTCAGTCGTTCTAAAACATAAGCAGGCAACTTTATACACTCGTAATACATTCTTACACTAAGAAACTAGAAAACATTACCCCAGCAAGTATTACGAAGAAATATCTTATCTCTTTTTGCTCGCGTCCCGAAATAGTGTAACTCAAATTTATCAGACGATTTCATCTGTAATTGAAAACGGTACTAAAACTAAATTCCAATAGTCAACGAGGCTGTAACTTTGTACGCTTTGGTGTAAGTAATTCTGATGCAAGACACGCACCGAAGATGATACGTGATAACACGAAAATCTCCCAATTGCTTACGTGTTCGAGCCGGCGGGCCCGGTGTTGAGAGACACGGAGTAATGAGACAATGGAGAGAGACAATACAGTGAGAGGTACTGCTGAAAAGTACATGGTGATGGTTCGACTGTTTTAAATATTTAAAAGGCAATAAGTTAGCATATGTGCTAGAATAAGTGCATAAATCTTCAATAAGTAAATAAAGTAATTGAAATTTATTTTGCAACTATTAACAGTGACTGTACTAAAATAATGGATAATATCGCAAACATGGTAAGCTTAAAAATGACTAAGATAGTATGTGTTCCACTTCAGTAAAATTGAAACCAAATGTTTGTGAAAGTCCAAATTTAAAATAAAAAGTCTTTAAGTGATGTAAAAAAATATTTATTTAATCCGATTTTGAACGTACCTATAGGCCAGTAAATTCAATGGCATTTACACGTTAGCACTCCATTTGCTACATACTCCGCGTCTAAACTTAAGAACTTGGGACCACCCGAGCATTGAATAACTCCTGGTTATAAATAAGGGCGATCATTTGATAAGTGAGTTCGCAACGTAACGCTTTTTGCCTGTGCTTTACGCAGGCGAGTAGACTTTATCAATGATTGAATTGATACATGCTGTGAATGCGTAATCCAATTGGGTCCCTGTGACTTCAACTCGAAAATTAATTTCTGATCTTTTTATGAGTTATTCGACCTTGTTGAGTAAATTGTTAAAATATTTTTTTCCCCTTTGTCTACAGTTTTTATAACTTCCATAGGTTATCAAATGTACGTTTGTGATCGACAAGGACACCTGTAGGTTGATTAAGACGATATAACGATTTTACTTCTTTTTTAAATTCCAAGTCCAGAAATACCTTAACATTGTGCGTGGTTGCCCGAAAACCAAAAATTTTATAAAACTGGCAGGATTTATTTGACTGTCTCCAAATCATTCTTCAAAGTACACATAGACATTAAAAGCATTTACAAACATCACATTTATAATCATATCTTAAACATAACCTTTAGAGGTCTTAGCGTCTCCTTACAACGTAGAATTACACCCACGACACACTAGAGACGAGAATAATTATAATAACTCATTTCAGGAGACAAATGTGGTTGTTGTTAATGTAGGGGTATTAACCAACAGTTACATTTGTAGACTCTAGTATCAGTTGTCTTATCTGTAATTTATACTCACAGTGTACATGCAGCATTATTCTCTTGCTGACGGAGGGAGGCACCCCATTGGCTGCGATGCACAAGTATGCGCCCATCTCTGAGCGCGTGACCTTTGTTAGGTTGACGATCTCGCCTTCCAGCGATGTAACTGTAAAAAAAGAAAGAATTAGTTTTAATTAGGCAATGTTTTATTTATTTATTTATATATGCTTTTTTGTACACAATAAAATGAAGTTGGTACAAAAGGTGGACTTAATGCCATATGCCATTCTCTACCAGTCAACCTTTGGGTCAAGTGGAAAATCTGCCAAAAATAAAATATAAAATCTACGATTCTTGTTACTCTTAAGTCTTTACATTGGGTCTTGTGGTGTTTGCTTACGTGCGCGTGGCTTTTAATCGCTTGTTGTGATTTTTTTAACCAAAATTCAAAAGTAAAAGAATAGTCTGTGTTTATGTGGTTCAATTTTGAAGTACCTAGATAAGGCAGGAATGGGTGGGCCCGACCGGAGTATATAACGGTCTCACAAAAATCGGGGTGAAACAGCGACAGCGCTGTGTTTCACTATGTGAGTGAGGTTTTCGGTGGCTTGATTCCTAAATCTTCCAACTGAAGAAAGTCGAGCAACGCACTCGTAACATCTCTGGTGTTGCGGGTGTCTATGGACTGCGCCGGCTACTTACCGTCAAGCCACACTTGTTTTTAAAATAAGTTTATTTAATGTTCAAAAATTCTTTCTTTTGAAATAGAACCCACTCTTTTATTAAATATACCTAAGTTTCTCGCTAATGGTTTCAGCGACGACCGTAGCGTAAAACGTTTGAGTTAACTAAAAACAGAAAAACTGATCGAAGGAAAACGGCGAAGAAATCAGAGCTTTCAGTTTCAGTCTATCATTGAAACCTGATGTGAAAATAAATGAGTCCGATTTACGTTTGAACGATGGGAAAGACTTGAGAAGCAACTTAGTTTTTCCAATCTTTCATTCTGAGTACTAAGTCGTTACAAATTAAAGCGAGAGAGTTTGTGATAAGTGCAAGTTGATCATTTCAATCTATCCCGAAGTATCTATTTGTTACTCGTAAGTTATTTTTTTGATCAAGTGATTTACAAATACGTCTTTCCAGATTTTTTTTTAATCGCATTAAATTAGTGCTTGTAATAATGCTTGCAATAATCTTAAAATACAATATTTTGATTTGAAATATTGTATTTTAAGATTAAGATACGGAACTTTAAGTGCGTGAAAGCCATACTTCGGCACGAATATACCGCGTCGACCGTAGTGATACGTTGTATGAGTGAGGTTACCGGAAACCCGTACTTCCCATACCCCAATACCTAAATTTCCTAAACTCTAATACTCGTTACTCCTTTAGTGTTGTAAGTGGTCCATGGCGCCAACTGCTTACTATCCGTATCCGTCATCCGAGCCGAAGCCCGTTTGCCACAATAATCACATTAAAAAAAAAAAAACAAATTACAATTTTTTTTTTCAAAATCGTAATTGATTTCGACTGAGTAATATGAAATTACGGTAATGTATAAATTAACGCCATGGTATATTAAACGTGTTTAATAATGATAGATGAAGCATAGTAAGTTATTCTGGGCGCTACTTAATCTCAGTGTGGAGACACCAACTTGGTGTCACATAGACTAACAATTCCTGATGCCCAGTGGGCGAGCCAAACACGTGTTCAGAATATGCATATATTAGCAAAGCGGTTGTGTACAACAGATTTGCTGTCTTACTTGATTTACTATGAATTTCGCAAAAATAACGCAACAATCAGTAATCTTCTATCTCTTTCTAAACATTATTTCCATGTAATACAAAAAATAGGTAAATTCTAACAACCCCAACCTATGTACACAACGAAATTGATAAAGCAAAGACCCACAAAAATGGTTTTGAGCACTATCTATCGAAGTGCTTACATTACATTCCGCCAGTAACTGTTGGAAAACACTTGTGAACCGCCAAAAGTTGACGGGTTGTGTAAACAAGTGCCGTTAGTGGTTCGAACTCGAGCTGTTTTCCTGACACCTTGCTCGAATGGCGGCCAAGTACGTTTACAGCCATTATTCAAACAAGAGGATAAAAAGCTAGGGCAATATTTTCCGAAGGAGCTGTACACCGTTGATGGTTTAAAGTGTAGAGCTCTCGGTGGCGGGACGGAGCTTCGTTAGCAAACAATGCGCGCACTGCGCCAGCTGTGGAGTCGCTTTGTAAAACGTAATAGAATTAGTTGCTTTTATTTTTAGGGTTGCAAATGCTATTCGTTTGTTTGACCATTTTATTACGGGGTGATTTTTAAGTTACTAATTTAACGAATAAAGAAAAGAAATATATCAACCTACTCTTTTTGTAAGATACGTTGTATGATTCGTTATAAATCTTGTGACTAATATATTTACTCATATATTTAATTCTAATAGTACGTTACATTTTAATTGCCTCGTCTGCACTATTATATTGCATATAATAAATGATTTATTTCAAATGAACAGTAACATCTTAAAATAAAAGTAACCCTTTTCTCGAAAATAAAATTATAGGATCGTTTAGTTTGCTAGCCACTCTATTGATTTCTGTGCTGTCTTCGAAGCGGACCGTTGAATAAACTTGGCCTGTCAATGTGTCATAAGTCAAGTGACGCTTGAGCCCCACGGACCCCTAGTGGTTTTACCATAGACATACAAACTCTTACAAAGGAGATTGATTTAAAAACTTTTTAGAATTACGTGTACATATTTAATTATTGAGCATGCCTATGAGCGCTGGAAAAGGCCCAGGCTTACTCACATTTAACTGGTATGTTTTTGTTACCAAATTAATAAAAGAGAGTAATAGTTAACAAAACTATCTTTAGAGAAATTGTTATTTTATTATTGTATTTTGTGGAGTCCGAATGTCTATCGAATTTTCTCAATACATTTATATTATAGTTGTACCATTTGAATATAAAGACTATTTTTAAAAATACAATTTTAAAAATCGAAGGCTTAATATTTACAAAAAAGTAAACCCGATAGCCGCCAAGAATAAAATTAAACAATCATTACGTAAATGAGACAAGATCATGAATATTTAATGAGAAAATTATGAAACGGCGGCTTTCACGATATTATGTCCCAAGACTTCAAGTTAAACGTTTTTTAATTAATGAAGTACTGCGTTAACTCTTCAATAACTGATAAAAGGAATTTCAATTTATTACATTTCAGATTCAAAGTTAATTTTCAAAGTTTTCTAATAATATTGGCACTAATCGCGTCACCGCCGAAGTCTACGGTAAAGGCGACAAAAGTCCAGTACTTTGCTAAAGTGTCCTCGAGTAAAATGGAAAACCAACATTTTCTCATCACTCCTTGTTCCAAAGTTATAATTTTAATTATGAATTCGAAACGTTCTGTACTGAGTGGGTAATTATTTATTTTGTATTAGGGAGGGTGTACCACCCCTTCTAAGGAAAATACTTGAATTTAATAAAGAGAAACACTGTACTTAATGGACTTTCTATTAATTGGTGTGATCGCTAGGAACTTTTGTCTGAACCGCAAACAATTGTTTTGAAATCGGATAGCATGGCCGAGCAACTTACTCGATAATTGGGATTAACAATTCTGGCTACCGTAGAACGTAGTCGTATCTGTTTCAAACTTTGTGGTACTGATGAAAACCGTCGAATGGAAGGATGGTGGAGTTAATTTGCATCAGTCTACGACTAAGTTTCCACCATTCATTCGCTTATCTGCATAATTTGGTGTTGAACATGAAACAAATAGGCACGCGACACGCCGTTGTCACCACGAACATGTTTTATGCGAAACAATAAAGGGCAAATTTTGAATAATACCCTATTGTTGCCGACGCTGTTTTCTGTCGTAGCTATCATTATTGTTACCTACACAACATGGCCGTGCTCTGTTCTCCTCGGATCTACTAAAATGTGATTGTCTCGAGATTTTCGAATTTGTATTCGGAACAAAGCGGACCGCTAATGTGTTTAACGATTACAAGATTAATAAATAAAGAACGTTGTTCAAAACATTTCAAAGAAAAATAAAAGACAATAATGAAATAATACCGAAGCATTCTTAAAAATTGAAAAAAGAACAACCACAACAAAGACGTGAAATTGAATTTTTCGTTTCAATTGATAACGAGCTAATTTACTTTAAAATTATGGTTTCACAAACCCGCGACACGCGAAAGCTATTAGTTAGGTACATCGATGCAGCAATATCGTATATCAGGACAATATTAAATTCTTGCACTTAAATTTGATTTATACGGTTGAAGTTGGCCCTCATTGGGAGATAACAAATTGGAAAGTGGCCCGTGGTAGTCGTTAAAAAACTATATTTGTCTTGGTCGGCCTAAAAGTTTCCTCATTGGAATATTCGTGAACATAGGCGTAGGTAATGGATAGCCTGTATTGTTTCCTGTTCAGATTTATGGAGGTAACTTGTAACGGCTTCTTTAATTAGACTTCTTTACTCAAATTGATGATTGTTATTGATGTTAGTTAATTTAAAATTGGTTGAGGCGGGTTTCACCTTGCCACTCATTGAATTACGGATAATTGAGAAAGTTCATGGTTTTTGAGTTCTGCTAGTGTTATAGGCTTCGCTGTGAACGGATTATATAAATTGATTTCGTTAATTACTTTTTAGTTTGCTTTAATTTCACAAAACTCATTATACAAAAGATTAATTAATAATGCTAATGAATGTTCATTCGTCACACTGTTGGGATGTTTTGAAAACTAGTACTTATTTATTTTACTGTCACAATATGAATAAGAAATTGAAAAATAAATATGAAAAATCTAAGAATATTTTTATATGGCCCGTAATTTTAATTAATTTTAGTCCATAAATGCAGTATGTATTGACACTAGTTTCGACCGTAGAGAATTGTATAGATCTAAGTGAGCTCTAATCTTAGTCGTAGTATTGAAGTGCTCGGCTCGTTGTGAAAGTCATTACCGGTAGTAGGTACTTTGTTAGCTTAATGAATTGACTGATGGCAAGAGGAGGTCTGAACAGTGGTAGGGTTAAGTGGGACCTGCTGATTAATCACCCTGTCAGTACAGTTTCCAATTGCCACTCGTCACGAATTCCCCTTGTGCTGGCAT